TCAGTTTTGGCAGTTTAAAATAAATTTATTTCAGCTCTTCACGACCACTCTTTGCTACTGTTAGATTTGTTCCTTGGGTCAAAATGGAAGATCTAAGAAATTTGCCTGCAATTGAAGCATTCTGACACCATGTTACACTTTTTATAGTCCTGTAGAAGTATTTTGACTTTATTTGTTAGATTYAGTGCTCAATTACCAGACCTTAAAGGAGCCCCTCAGTGATTTAACCTCCCTCATTATAATAGGCAGAAGGATTTTCTCATTACATCTTTTCCCTTGTACATTGCCCAAATATCAACTTAGCACAAAAAGTAAGGTAATTTGTGTTTGGTAGATTATTTCCTTGTTGTAACAWTGCTTCTTGACAATAAATCCTAAATCGGTCACCTGATTGGCAGTACCTGAGGGTGCCAGAAGCTCAAAACAAGTGTCAATAACAACAGCAAAATAAGCTGTTTGACAGAGAAGATTTGGCATATTTATTATGTGCACAACCCACATACTCAGCTCTACTGCTCATCCCACAAATGCATGTTCCCTTCAAATGTGGCWCCACGTAAAAGGGACATTAACAGGAAGAAGAAGCATTGTTACAACAAAGAAATAATGTACCAAATGCAAATTTCCTTACTTTTTGTACWATGTAYATAAAGACCAAACAAACTAATACACTGCATTTATTAAAAACTTCTAATTTCTGGCCTTTTTATTGATATCCCCCTCTTACTTAAAGACTTTATTTAAAATGAAATACATTCTGTACCTAAATTTGAACTCTTAAAATARACTCTAGACTCCAAGAAGTGATTTTAAAGCATTGACTTCCAATTAGGAAATGAAAGTTGATCAGTTATCCTAAAAATATTTATTGTCATATAAGAAAAGAACAAAAAAAACCCCACAAAAAACAAATTGGAGTTAGTTCACATAAGCATTCAAAACCACTGCTGTGGTTCTTTGAGTTTCTTGATACCTTTTCACCACTGAGTGAACAGAACCCACACAAACATGTCTTATAATTGGTTTCAGATTGGCCAAACCTTCAGCCAGGGCTAAAAGTATTTATTTTTTCAAACCAGAGTATTCAGAAACAAAAGTTTGTTGAAACCCTATGTGGATTATGATTATTCAGTCACACTCCAAGCATGTGCTGTGAGGTCTTTTGGGTATTATGTTAGAGCTCAGCTGTTTGTACAGTAGCTTTGGCTGGTACAGTTTGAACTCAAAGAAATGCATTCAGGTAATGCAAAAAAAAAAAAAAAAAAAAAAAAAAAAAAAAAA